GGAGACAAAAAAAAAGGTTCCTCTCTCTTTGGTGTCACCGACGTCGCAGGTTATACCGCCGCCTCGGTGGAGACAAGGGGGTTTCCGGAACGGGACTGCCGTCAGTGTCGTTCCGGTCCTGCGAGAAATCTTCGTCTTCTGCTTGAAAAAATCGTTTAAGGTCGGTGACATGAACAGGTCCCGTTTCCTCACTAGACTCACAGTTAACTAGTTTGTAAGTGAGTGGCGAGCAGTTTTCACGCACGCGAAACGGACCTTCCCACCTGTTGGCGAGGGAGGCTGCAAAGCCTCGAGCGGCGTCACTCAGTGGGTGAGTACGCCGGAGCACAATATCTGCCACCTCGAACTGCAAGTTACGTCGCCCCTGGTTGTACTGTTCTGCCTGCTGTACTCGGGCGACGTTGAGATTTTCTCGGGCCTCTCGAAGGTTATCGGAGAAGCGCTTTCGCAGGTCCTCTGCGAACTTCACGTAGGGGCGAAGCCTTCCCCCAGACTCTGTAGAAAGGAGGCTGTTAAAAAGCGGGAACGCAAGCTCCTTGCCGAAATTCAATTGAGCAGGAGTGAGACCCGTTGACCGATTAGTGGTCGTACGGGTTGCGAATGCCAGCTCGAGCAGTTTCGCGTCCCAGTCCTTGTGGCGCTCTGTGTAGGCCACTAACATCATCTTAAGGTTCCGATTTACCCTTTCCGTGATGTTTGCTTGCTGGTGGGATGGGGAAGTTCTTTTGTGCTTGATTCCCAGTACCGCGCATGCGTCGATGAACACCTTACTCGTTAGATAGGAGGCATTATCGCTTACAAGATGTGCAGGAAAGCCAAACCTAGTGAATGTTTTGAGTAGACACTCCCAGATTTTTTGCGAATCTAGCTTCCGCAAAGGGAATAACTCGACCCACTTCGTAAAGTGGTCGGCTACCACGGTTGGGCGCAATTTCCTTCCATTAAACCGAATCTGCAGCCTCTCGGCTCCTCCAGCTGTTATCGCTGTACCAGAAGCTAGCTGCAAACGGGTTTCGCACTCCCGGAGGCTTTTCTTTTTTGCTTTGCAGAGTTCGAAAACGAAATCCCCTATGTGCGAGATAGCGGCCCCGGAATCCAAAAGTGCGGCAATGGGAAGAAATCGGGCAACTTGGCTGGGGAGCCGCCAGGGTGCCCACAATATAAACGGTAATATTGATGACATAATCAAATTCATGAGACAAGGAGATACGAAAAAAACAGACAAGAAGGCACAAAATTACAAACTGGTTAAATATTATGCGTCCTCTTGTAAGCTATTTTTTTCTTCTTGTCTCAGAGTTTAGATTATTATATTTTCTAAAAAAAAAAATTGCCTGCTTACTTGCGGTGTTGCAGTTAATGAACACACTTCCTAGATACAAAGTGTTTATTTATTTTTTTTCGAAAGTAAACAACATATTGCTAAATGCTCATTGGTGACAGAAGGTAGTGGTGGGAACCAAGTGCCCACGTTTCAGAACTAACCCGCATTTCTTTCAAAAGTCAGATGCGTTTTTCTGAAAAAATAAATCTGAAAAGGGGGGCCGGTTTTTGCCTTTTTTCGGTAACCGGCGCAGTTTAGATCCATGTGTCCGAGAGCTTCGTCGGCCACAATGTTCCCATTGAACATTTTAATAAATCCCTTTTAACTTTTGAATAAAATAGCAGTTTTTTTTTTCTAAAACATTAACATCTGGTCTAGACCTCTAGCACTAGATTTAGGCCGATAATATCCATTCGGTGATGCGTAGTTTAAAAATTGTACTGAAAAAAAAAAAACGTAAATTTTTTTTGCACATTTTGTAGACGCTTTGTCCGAATAGAATGGATAAAAAAAAACGCGCGTAAAATGAAGGAGTGGCAAATTATTTAGTGTTTACTGTCGCGCTTACCTTCACCAACAAACAGGATAAAAATATGGATAACATTTCTTTTGAAAAAGTAAATACTTTTTCAGTGCCAGTCCATCCGAAGCCAATCTATTTGATTGGCATCGGCTTTAGTGGATGTCAATTTGATCCGTTTAATAGAATTCTGATTAATTCGACTAAAACCCCAGTACATACAAAAAGTACTCTTCATTATTACAATTATTCTTAAACATGGCACATGGATTGATCAGTTCATTCAATCGCTGATAACAATGCAGAATAATTATTCTGCGCAAATTTAAAGCACAACTGAAGTAACTACTTTTTATTGATGTAACCCCAGTCATACCAAAGGAAACAAGAACTGCCCAATTTTTAGCTAGCTTTTCTTGCGCTCTGATAGTTTGCAATAACCCGTATGGAAATTTTATATCTGGGCCATATCTGGCCATATCAAACGTTATATGATTATATACGGCCTATATACAAACTTATCTGGCGTATATACAGACTTATCTGGCGTATATACAGCCTGATATGGCGTATATACAGACTTATCTGGTGTATATACAGACTTATCTGGCGTATACACAGCCTGATATGGCGTATATACAGACTTATCTGGCGTATATACAGCCTTATCCGGGGAATATGAAGTCTTATCTGGGAATGTATACACTGCAGCCTCATTTGAGGTATATATATACTTTGTTATCTGTCGTATACAGCTTTATCTAGCGGCCGGTTTTTAATTAATTGTGTATAAATAAGTTAAATAAATGAAGGACGTTTACAACTCCAATGCTGAATTGGCTCTCTTTTTGAGAGGATCCGGAGGGGATATGGTATGCGCAGGCCTCTCCTCCTCCCTCATCTGCTCCTCGCCTCCTCCCGCTCCATCTCAAGTGGTGCATTATGGGAAACGTACCATATAATGCAACGCGCGCGTCACCGCGGTGTGCATTAATTATGGCACGTTTCTAATAATGCACAGCGCGGTTACGCCGACGGCGACGCGTCACGCCGACGCCCGCGTGCCGTAACGCGTCGGCGTAACGCTTTTTCGTGACGCGTCGCCGTCGGCATAAAGCTTTTTCGTGACGCGTCGGCGTCACCGTAACACCTTTTCGTGACGCGTTACGCCGACGGCAACGCCGCTTAAGCCGGAAACAAACGCCTAAGAGCTGCGCTAAAAAAAAAAAAAGTTAAGAAGTAATTTGTTAATTAGCTAATTCGTAAATTACTAAATCTAAATAGCACAAATAATCCCAAACCTTAGCTTTGGCAAGCTTAAGATTGGGATTATTTGTGCTAAAGTTCGCGAGGATTTCAATTTCAATCAATTTCAATTCGAAAACTAACATTACGTCCGAAATGTTCGGGAAACCCATTTTCTCGGAATCGTAGACGATTCGCCAAGTTCACGAAAATTCAGTAATTTACAGCATCAACTTTCCTGTTTGGCATTCCAGGGCAAAACAAAATAAGTCAGATAATTTATATATTTAACAACCGAATATTCCCCTGGGTTTGTATTTCCTAATATTATTGTTAGGAAGGTGATGCTTTTACATTGTGTACTCGGCGCTATATAAGTGGACGAATAGAATTTCTAATTTGTTTTGAAATGTTTAACAATACTAGCTGTTTTAGAAAAAATACACTATTTTTCACCTCTCAGCAAACATTTCAAAAAGCGTTTGTCCAAGTCAGTATCTAATATGTAACTTTTCACTTTCCTAACATTAATTTTGGAGGAAGTATATATAAAACTGTGTCAATATTTCATTGTTATCTAAATGAATTAGTTTATGGCAGTCATACTTCGCCCTCGAATGCCCAACTAAATATGACAGCAGCCACTTCGGACTATTTGCCTTTTTATTTTAATAAATAAAAGCTGCTTTGAAGCAAATCAAGACAGCAGGAGACATGACCATTGATTCAAAGAATAGAATTATTACAATTGATAAATTTTCACTCAATATTCTTGCCCCTTTTTCCTCATCAAGTAGTCTATTTGGGTAGTTAGAGGAGCCTTTTTTTGAAATGCACAATTATGACCAGTCTTCCATTAAAAATTTGCAGTTATAAGACTGCAAACCTTTTTTTCTCCACAAGTCTACTGTTTTTTTACATTGGTATGATCTTACATCTAAATATATGTGAAAAAGCACGTGAGAAAAAAGAAATACATAACCAAAATTGTCTTTCGAATTACCGAAAAGTACATTAACATACATAACGTGTACTGAGATTATTATTTATGGTTTGATCAAATCGGCTCAATTTTCATTTGTTGTCATGTGCTACATAGTGTACACCAACAAACGACAGGAAAAAAAGGCTGCTTTATGGGAGTCTGACAAATGTACCAGCCCCCCCCCCTTCAGTTTGGGTTGGTTAATGTTGACAGTGCAGGTTAATTTGATATGCATGTGGTACAAATAAGTCAGAGAACTGCATTGGGCATAACAAATATTTTTTTATCTCCACAATTCAACTTCATGTAAATCACACATCGAAAATAAACATGCTTAAACACATAAAAACATGGCTTCGTCAGGTTCTGACAAACACAGTCAAATCACAATTATTCAGAAAACTTCTAATTTGCTCAGCAGTGGAGAAAATGACAGATTTGACGCCTGCTTCGAACACACCTAAACATTACTTGTTGCAAAGCCACACACTACCAGACATGATTTGGTCCAATCCTGACACACGCAACCAAAATCTGGATTCCACAAAACACGCGGCAAAGGATGCAACGGGATGCTACAAACACCAAAACATCACTGATACAGCAATATCTCGAACGGATGACTATTTAACAAAAAAAAAAAAAAAAAGAGGCGAATTTGACAGATATGTTTACACCTTGTTTCTCTGAGAAGGAGAGCGGACGGCCTCGCGTCTTCTCCACCTCGCCGCCTTGAGAGGGCAAAGCGAAGTGAGGAGGAAACGAGATATCTTGACGTCACATGATTTGTCCGCCTGGTTCAATCTCGACCTCTTTTCCCAAAAATATGGCCGTCCATTCGAGATATAGCCTTACGAGTAGTGTTGTAGCGATTGTAACATCCCACCTACATCTCCTGCATTGTTTTTTTGTTTTTTGTTTTAATCCAAATTTCGGTTCACCATTTTTTTAAAGCAGAATTCACAAAACTTTTTCCTCAATCAGCGGGGAAGGGAGGTAGTTTGGTAAATACCGTAAAATACCGAGCATCCGCCCATTTCACATTAAGTGCCCACCCCCACATTTTGTAAGAGCTGAAAAGATATGCACAGTACAAATATATGTAAAACTTATGACCACACATATGACATTTTGTTGTTTCGTTTTGCTTTAAGCTGGGAGCCAAAGTGATGTGTAAGACCATCTAAGTCCACCATCAAGGCACACCATGCGTACCAAGTTCATTTGTGCAATACATTTTTGAAAAGTGTTTAAGATCAAGTGGAACCACACAAGAGTTTTTGGAGAAACCAAGGTAATAGTAAATTTGGGCGTTTACGTGCCAAACATACGAAGGGTATCTGGCACACCCAAGGGGGGACTGAGGATTAATTCAACCACCTGGGGACCTCTAGATGTGCAACCAAAAGTTTGGTTACACGGCGCCTTTTCCGCAATAAGCCTCTGTTATATTGCGGGCAGCTCAGGACAACATAGCAAAGGTTCTGATCATGTGCTGCAGCTCAATGTCCAGGGGGCATGTACAGTAACAATTAGGAAAGGAGCAGTCTACTGGGCTTTACAAATTCATCTCAAACAGATTCGGTGTTGAAACAATGTAATCGAGAACAAAAATACACTTGTGGAGTTCTGTTTGGGGAAGGGGGACAATGACAAGCTGATTGTCGGCGGAATACACAGGGATGAATTGGGAAAGTGAGTAGTTCATGCTCTCGTGTACTATTGTCTCAGAATCATCGATAAAAAACTCGTTGAGGACAGCATACACTTCCATGCTGTTCTTCACAAAGCACTCAATGGATGCATAGCAAATACCGTTTTCAGTAGTACATCTGACTGTTCTGTTATTTCTAAGTTTCTGGTTTTCATAAATACTAGATGTGAAAGTGACACAACCAATCGTTGCCCTCTTGTAGATCAATGCATTGTCGAACATAGACTGGGTCGATAAGAAACTTGCTATCTTTCTGTTCGCTTGACATGGGCGTCCATCGAGTTTTACAGATCCGTCTGTAGTCTGTTTTGGAAAACGAACATTCCGAATTCTGTTCAAGACAGAAAATGCAGTAGAGCCCTTATCCATGCGTCGCTCAATTGAGTTAAGTGCATTTCCGATCCCGACAAGAGTAGCAAGTTGCTTATCGATTGCCCTGGTGCCTTGGATAACTCTAACTAGTTCACCATTTCTATCTTCAAAAAGAAATGCAGACGTTGCCCAGAGGGGGCCCCAACGTCTTACAGAAAGACCGAGATGTGTTAACTGGTGCATGTTGAAAGTTAAAAACTGTGGTCCATAAAGTGATGCGGACTCTTCAACAAAGCGACTAAGAAAAGTTTCGGCCAGATCAATTTCGTGACGTCTCACAGACTGCTTCAACAGCATATGGATGGCGGAGACGAGGAGGACAAAATGTTGCAGATGAGCCAGTGGAAGAATGCCAGAAAGTACTGGAATAGAATAAAAAAGTAGCCATGCCCTGAACTCACTTGCTTTCCAATACATTCTATGCCTGACAGAGCGCGGCGTTCTAGTGATAAAATCGGGTGGCTGGATGGCCAGCAGCCTCTCGTCAATTGTTTTCAACTGTCGTCCGAGATACCATGGCTCTGCATGATACTTACTGTCAAACCAGGTGGCCATTAGCATTTTCACTACCCCTAGCAGTACACAGTGCATGTAATCTATTACAAAACTGGACGCCAAATCAAAACGGGGAATCAACCTCAATACAGACGGCCCTTTTACGCCCTGTACTACAGTTTGGCTATTCACAGCCTGTACGGCCTGCTGCTTCATGCCACTCCCCGTTCGCAAAGCATGCGTACCCGGAACATAAATCCATGATCGGGAGGAGCCATTGCGCTGACAAGTTTTGCCAGGGGCCTCACATAGAGAGCACCCATGCAAGCCATTAAACTGGCGAATATTCTGCAGCAGAGCCTTTGGTACGGCGTCCACAGATGTGACTGGTGCAAAAATACGGGATATCAGTTGTCGTCCAGTTACAGGATGAGTCCATCTCAAACCCTGCAATGCGAGTTTTTTCACTTCCAAACAAAATGGTCGAAGAAAGGTATTAACGTCAGGCTTTGAGCCACACCAAAGCAGAGTCAGTAGTTGAAATTTCTTGCGTAGTCGGGGGGGCAGTTCAGGGATTACACAGTGCAAGGGCCACAAGGAAGAGGTTGAGCTTTTGAACACCTTAACACCATCAGTGTTCCAGAACAAAGAGAAGTCATATTTGCCGCTTCCAGACCTCACCTTCTTGTATTCATCCCCATCTGTTAGATCACTGTAGGCATCAGAAGTGCCATGGTTGGGTGGTGAGAAGTATTCATACATCCTTTCATCCTCTAAGAATGAGCGCAGCGTTGGAGCTAACTCTATCTGTAAAAATCTGCCGCAGTTAATAAGTGATTTGGTGCACAATGGACACCATGCGATTCCAGCGGAAACAGAGGTGTGGCAATTCTTGCAAAAGAAATGTTCTTTTGCTGGATCACCGGATCGATACTTGGAAAGGAGCTTGAAAAAGGTGTACGTCGTTGACGGAAGAGAATGTGGGCGGGGCAGAAATAAGTTGAGAGCAAATAACAAAGCTGAAAGAAACTCTCGCGTGAGGTTGAATTTGAAGAACAAGTTCATCAGGATGACACAAACTTCAATGCAGGACATAGAACACCCATCAAAAAGGGGAGTGTGGGCCAAACCTTCCTGTACATAGCTGTCACCTGGGCATTGTTCACCGGAGGAGGTACTGTCTCCGTCATCGGCTTCATCAGAACTTGAAACACTGATGTCCGAGCAGATGCTCTTCTCTTCTTCGGCATCACTTGCATCCTCTGCACCACTCTCTTGTCGAAGAGGAATTGGGCTGCTTGCAAGCTGATCAGGGCTTGCGCTGTTCGGAGGTTCGGAACAGCCTGCATCTTCAGAAAGCTGGTCCCACCGAGCTTGGGTACGTCGTGGGACCTATCAAGTTGGAAAAAGAAAACATAAAACATGTTTCTTTCATTACGAGTACTGCAATTTCAAACATATCTATAAAAAAATAATGAACCTTTCAAACGAGTTGCAGAATTTATGCTAGCAGAGGCGACATTCGGTAGATATCCGTGCCCCAACTTTGCTATCACCAAGAACTCAGCAACAATGAGCTCAGATGGTGCAGCGGTTAGCATGCTGGTCTAGGCATTTTTTTTTATCGTGTTGAATATCCAGATTTAATTTGTGTCTTGTAAACAGTTCACTTTCTTTTGCTATTATAACTTGTGCAGATGCATGACAAGTACAAAGCAAGTAGCTGGCTCCCGAGACGTTCACTTCGTTTGAATTTCGGGAAAGAAAGACGAGCCTATTCGCAACTTTCACGACCTATAGGGGGCGTACTGGCGCCTATCAAAATGGCTGCTATCTGGATGATCGTCGTAGAAGAGCAGCACGAGGCTGGGCTTGCGACGCGTGAGTAATTCCAGCTTTGCTGTAAATGAGCTGTAATATAGCCTAAGTTCATTTTTTGCACGTCAGGAAGGTATTTGCAAGCACCTTTTTTGTGAAGCCGATCATCCAGGAGCTAGGGAGCGCTATTCTCACACCGCGGTACCACCATCGCTGAAAGTTGCGAATATTTTGCCGGCAGCTGGCAGAGTTGTCTGGGCGGACAAATGCTGGCACTTTTCTCCCATTTGCGGGCTGCAAACACGTCACTATAGTGTCGGCATTATATATACATGGGTTAATTGGGTATGGCAGCCAGAGAAAAAAAATTGCCGGCAGTTGTTCTACGTTGGCTGGCATATATTTGTGGTTGTTACTCTGCCAGCAGATGGAAAAATAGGCCTGGAAACAAAATGCCAGCTGACAGCTCGGATCAAAATTGCTAGCAGCACTCATTCTTTGTGTCTACATCATGCCAGCTGCAGTCGATGTATGCGAGTACCATGCCTACTGGGACTGAGCAGAAATCGTAACTGTCAATTTGGATAAGTTTGCCGAAAAGATTCCCGAGTATAATTACTTGCTAAAATATTACACATTTGTACAGCGTAAGTTGTCTGCCATAGGAAGGCATCATTTTCTACATGCAGACGAAAAATCTACATATAGCCTGGTGCTACGAATATACGACGTACTCTGCGATAGCAATTGCAGTACACTAGCCTAAGCCAAGGCCTAACCAACTTCTCGATAGAACAAAGCAGCGGTGAACCTTTTGAAGTAACTAGAAATGAAAATCTTTCTAACCTTGCCCCTAAATTGTCACGCTGCCGGGAGTGATTGGAACGTCGAAAAAATTTCAATCATCCATACAGTAGGTTCAGCCTACAGAAGCGGCAGACCCTTAGTGGAACGATCCGCTTGAGTGTGACTCAGGTACTTACGACTTCGCTGCTGCTTGTCAAATACTTCTTGTAGGGACCGCGCTTCTGCCTGTTCATTCTGGAAGGCTGTGCAGTATGACCAAGTACCAGGATGCCAACACGGGTAACTCGACCTTTAGTAGAGCCACAAACAGTGGCAAATCCGCGCCATTTGACCACGCGTAAACGCTTCCACGCAAAGCCCTCTTCCGACGCCCGCCCAGCCGAGTGCAGCGTGCGGCAACTCCAGCCACCCCGCCCGCCTCTCCAGCCACAGCCGGCTGCGCGAAACCACGTGTAGCCGAGTCAGTCCAGAGGGAATTTTCAGTGTTTTATTAGGAGCAGTGTTCATTCATAAATAATCAAGTCGGTAATTCATTTTTTTTATACAAAATATAACTCGATTATTGACTTTTTAAAGATTTATTCTGTTTTTGAATGGGTTGGCGGCTGGTTAATTGCGTTGGAATTTCGCCCCGTTTGCTGGCAACAAGAGCAGCCGGCGCGAAGCTCTTCCTGGAAAGTACTCTACCCGCCCGGCGATAGTTGCAGGGATGTAAAGGGAGAAGTAGTATGGTAGAAAATAAAAAGAAAACATGTTTCAATTACATAATTCAAGGCTGGGTGGCTTAAGCAACCGCCCGATATAAAAGCAACTGCGACGAGCAAGCGGATCTCGGCGGGAAACACCTCGGCCGCGAGATCTTATTTGCTTTTTCAAACGCGTCTCGTGGTTGTTAGTCAATAAATAAAGTACGTACGCTTCTCGGTATTTTCTTTCCCTTTCCTCGAACGCCCAGTCTCGTTCGTGAAGCAACAATGAATTTCCGAAAGCCGAGGGAAAGGCGACGCAACCATCGCCGCGAGTAGCAGACGACGCTGCGCATAAAACGGTGCACCGACCTCGCAGAGGGCAGGCGTCGTCGTATTTAGACATTCTCCGTTCGTTGTGGCGCATCTAACTGTTGATAGTTGTCAAAAAAAAATGGTTTTACATAATGCATTTTCTATCTTCCTTGAAACTGTTGTGGGTACACTATAGTTGCACGGGCGTCAGCCTTCCCCCAACACCAGCACGCCTGTACATTTCTACCTCCCCAAGGGCAATAAATAATACCAAAGTCGCAATAAAACGCACGCGGTAGCCATACGACTAGCAGATGACGGGAGGATCGTCGAAGTCGACGTGCCTAATTCTACGAAATTGTGACTGCGGTGAGGGCTGCCGTCTTCGCACGCTGATTTTCAGGAACTTTGGGGGTGGAGAAGAATTCTACTCGTAGAGTTTGAATCGTTTCGAGCTCTCTTGGCGCAGTTGCTACGCCCACACGGCATAATGAACCATCGCCGGAATGAACAAAACGTTCCGCGTTCAGAGCTTGAAATGCTGCCTCAGGTGTCGTGACGAATCCTCTTCACGCGTGCACGTAAAGAATATCGCGTTGAACATCTACTTGGCTTTCTACAACGTTCTACACGTTCTACAAGGATTTTGTAGCCACAATTGGTAGGTCGAATGTACGGCAGACAGCAAAATATCTACCTTTTAAAAATGGCGAATCGACCGTGGCGCACCCTGGATTTTTGTTTTCTTCAACCCCGATACCAACGCCTTGAAACCATAGAGCTTGAAACCCAAATTGCAATACAAAAAAAAATTACTCGTCGCGAAAAACACGAAGTATAACACAGTGTAAAATGTAATTAGTCGAACTAAATTACTATTAAGTAAATACATTTCTCGGCTTTTCTTTTTGTGCGCTTTTATCGGTCAAGCACAAAAAGGTTTTAATCTGAAAAGATACCAGCCAATCCAATCCGTTGAGCAGTCTTAACATTGTGTGTTTACCGTTCTCTGTCAGCTGTAACTTAACGCAACGCAATATGACTGAACGCATCGACGCCGAGTTTGTGCTCGTCTATTTCGAAGAGGAGAACAAGTACGATGTTGTCGGCGACGTCTACATAGAAGAGCTGTGCGATTCGGCAGCGCCCTTAGCCGTAGGAGCCATAGTCCACGTGCTGTGGCAGGACAGGGGCGCCTTCCCTGCTGTAGTAAGGGGCCTTTCCGGTAAGAACCCAGCTTCATAGTTCTTAAATGTAAAACGTTTATTGAGCAAATGGTGCAACTGGCAGTTGCGTTAAGGTAGGGTCACTGTGCAGTTACGGGGGGTTTTCGTAGATCGTTTTTACCTTCCCGCAGCGTCCTCCCCGACCCGCTACGATAACCGGAACTAGTCTACAGCCAAGGCCATCGGCTCGCATGAGCAGTTGCGGATTCTTCGTTGTGGAGGGCTTAGCGGAGGGGGAAACACGGTCTACGAAAACTCCATACTAGTGAGTTTTAGT